AATCAAATATAAATCTATATATAAACATTAAATTATCCAATACTTGTTTCGTAAAATTAGTAAATGGATCCAATGATGCATCATAACCACGTGAATACCGATCAATAGGACCATCTGTTCCACGTGTTGTCTATAAAAATATAATACAATTATATTATTCTAAGAAGAATCTCATAGCTATCATATTAATAGTGTTTCTGATTTTCAATCATCTTATCATTTAGAAAGATTCTCTCTAAAACTATTAAGTGGTATGTTATGCAGGGACGTCCGCAGAGGTGGGATCGATCCCCCCTCCCCGCAAAAAATTGAAATACCTGGAGGGGAGTACAAGTCGAACAATTTTCAGAGATTTGAAATAATCTTTTTCTACGATGGACTTTTCTGCAAAGTCGTCAACCCCCCAAAAAAATTTCTGCGGACGTGTCTGATGTTACGTCATTTAATTAAAATAAGATTTCAATCAATTGTAGTGGATAAAAGTTTTTTTTACTGAATACATACAGGATAATTCTGAACGAATTTAATTTTTTCATATAATTTTATATTATCCGATCGAAGTTTATCCATTTCATTTTGAAATATATTCGTTTGTTGTTTTAATGAAACATTTTCCTAAATACAAAAAAAAGATTTTTCTTATAGAAAAAAGAAATCGATTTATTTGAATTACGCTCTCTAATTCAACATTACGAATACGAAATCGTTCACGTTGACTAATAACAATAGTAGTTAATGCTTCATCCGATGTTGTATCACGTGATGAAACATGTGAAAATGAACCCTTAAATGATGCTGGAGATGTAGATGATTGATTTAATACATCTTCAATTATTATAGTTTCATTTGAATTACTATCACTTATTTGTCCCTAAATAAAAAACAAACAAAATACATCGAAATTTATAAAAAGAAAAAAAAACAATCCACTTCAGATCCTCGTCGAAATAATTCAGTAACACCACCAACACTTAATGAATCTTTTTCAAGTTGAATATTCAATTGTTTTAATTCATTATTTGCATTTTCAAAATCTCGACAACGTTTATCAAGTTCATGAAATCGTTCTAAATAAATGAAAAACATTCATTTTATTTTCCACACATACGAAAAAAATTTGAGAGTAAAAAAAAAGAAAATCTTATTATCACTATATACGATATTCTTCTTTCTTTCTTTCTTTCTTTCTTTTCTCTCTCTGTCCTTGAACCTGAAATAAATAAATTCAAAGCATATTCAATATTATACAAAAAAGACAAATAGAAAATTTTTATTAATATTCGAACAAAAAAAAACATCATAATTCACACATATTAAACTTCTTTCGCAAAAATTTTTTTTGTTAAATACAATAAAAACGGTGGAATGTTAGTAAATCATTTGATATTTAGTATTCTTTTGTTAGATGTATATACTGTATTCTTTCTCATTTATTGCACGCGCACACAACATCGAAATATAAACAAAAATTATAATCTGTTCAAATAAAAAACAAAAAAAAACTGAAGAAAAGAAAACGAAACAACCATATATCACGCCATTCTCTTTGTTTGGATTTTTTTTAATGCACTTGTTAAAGCAGCTGGGTTTGTTCACGACTAGTTTTAATACTTGAGTGATACTCACAAATATATATATAACAGAACAAAACGAACAATAACAACAACAAAAAATGTTGAGCATTAAAAAGAAAAAAGAAAAAGAAAATTGCAAAATCACCAATTGGTTTGTTTTCCTAATATGACCTTGGCTAAATAAAAATACATTTTTTTTTGTTAAGTATTAGTATCAACAGAATTTGTCGATTCATTCGTTGTTTGATTTGATAGTATTGTGTCATTATAATTATCATCCTCAGTTATTAATTCATTATGTAGTTTTTTCGTAGTAATAATTTTTTGTGGAATAGATTTTCGTTTTTTACTCCTTGAACTAAATGTAGATATCGAAAGAGTAGGCTTTTGTTCGTCGATTAAAGAGATAATATTTGTTGGTGATGTTGCTAAACTAATTGGACTAGTCGAACTATCTGAATCATTTG